AGCGAAAGGCTTTCCTGACCTCAGGTCTGGTCGTCGGTGCTTTGTTTTTCCTCTGCAGCCTGGTTCTCTTCCTCGGGGTGAAGGAGCAGCCGGGTGAGTCACAAATGTCCAATGGAGTAGATGGGTCATCCAAGTTTTTTCCAATCCAGAAATATCAAGCGACACGTCGATCAGAGAACTCGACTCATTCGTTGACTTAAATAACCTCAAAAATAAACTTGATCATAAGTAGGAATTCACAACTCTTCCTTTTATGAGTCATTTTGGTTTTGATTTCAGCTCCTGTCCGCTCTGATGACAAAGCGCGACCATCCTATCTGACCTCGCTGAAGATGCTGATACGTCACATTCCTTACCAGCGACTGGTGCTTGGATTCGTGTTCAGTGCTCTTGCGTTTCAGGTACAGATTGAGATCACAGCGGCTTCAAATGCGTCCCTGCAGACTGTGGCTCTGATGGAACACAGAGAATCATTTTCCTTCAGTCGTCTCTGTATATTTGCTGTTACTTTTCTAGATTGTAAAATTGTTTTATGCTTTTCAAACGATGATGAAACCAAAACATTTTCCAAATGATTTTTCTCCCCTTTCGGTTTTTGTCTTCTCAGATGTCGTGGAGTAATTTTGCACTGTTTTGCAGCCATGCAGCCGGACTGGGAGCTCAGTTCCAGTACCTGCTTCTGGCTCTCCTGGTACAACACACACAGACACACAATAGAACGCACAAGAGGAAAGACAAACTAATAAAGCATCATACGTCTCTCATAGTGAATGCAGCTATTTAGCGGGAAGTGCCTCTTTCTAACCCCATGAAAGATGCTTTATGAACTGCAGATGAAACGGTCTCAATGTTTCCACAGGCTTCGGCCTCAGTATCAGTTCCTCTGTGGCAAGCAGTTCTTCTGAGAGTAGGAAAAAAGGCCACGCTTTTCATCGGACTGTCGGTGAGAACTCTCTGCACTGTCCATTAATCTGAGTCATAAGATTCTCCTCCTGTTAAATCTCCCTCTCACTTGTGGCCTGTTTATGTCTCTCTCAGTTCTTCATCCCAGCAGTGACCATCATGGCCTGTGTGCCCAGTAACCTGCCTCTGTTTGTGATTATGTGTATTTTGATGGGATTCAGCGTGGCGACTGTGTTCTTGCTGCCATGGTGAGTCAGTTCCCCCGTGAGGACACAGAATATTCTCAGCCCTTTCCAAGACTCTGTCACGTCTCATCAGTATCTCAGCTGCTGACATTTTCATAGTTTCGTTTGTGCACACAAAGAAAAATCTACATTCTGCAAAAAAATATATGAATGAAATCTCAGGAAAAAACAAAAAATAATTAGAAAGAGACACAAAACAACTGCTAAAGTAAAAACCAATCGCCAGTCGGTCACGAAAAACACTTGAACATATATACTGTGATACAAACAACCTTACATTTTTTAGTTTGGTCCATGTCTCATCCACCAACATGGAGGAGTTCGGTTGTGAGCTGTACTGCAGCCAGCCACCAGGGGATGATTGAGACACGTTGGCTTCTATCTTTATATAAACTTTATGAACCATACACACAACTACGACACAACACAAAATACCACGAAGAGACACAGAATCAATACAGAGGTGCTTAACAATCACAGAATCACGACATGAAGAGGTCTGTGTCTTTCACTCTGGGGCTCTTGCTCTTATGTTGGAGGCTGGGAGATATTTGTCTGTTCCCAGGGGCCACTTGTTTAGAATCTGTTCATGGCTACAGGTCGATGCTCCCAGATGTGTTGGACGACTTTGCCGTGAAACATCCGTCCTGTCAGGACCTGGAGCCTCTGTTTTTCTCCTGTTACGCCTTCTGCAGTAAGCTGGCGGGAGGCCTGTCTGTTGGAATCTCAACCATGATCCTACAGTGAGTCGGTCCTCGTCGCTCTCGCTCCACTTGTTGTGTGCGCACGTCTGTTGATCCGTCACATTGAGTCTTCTCCCTCCCGGCAGGTTTGTGGGCTACAGAGCGGGTGCGTGTAACCATGGTGACGGAGTGGTGACAGCTCTGATGGTGTTATTCGCACCAGTTCCCATCGCACTCCTGCTGATAGGGATGGCCTTTTTTTGCTCCTACCCAATCGATGAGAGGCATCTGCAGGAACAACTGACCGGAGACCTCCAGTAAGTGGCTCTTTGGGTTCTGACGTGTTTTTTTTAAAGCAGCTGAGGAGAAAGCTTTTATTTTATTTATGTTTTTTCATTTATTTTTTATGGTGAATCAAATGAAATGTGAAAGCGTCCACTCATAAGGCACATATCACTCAGCTTTACTTTAGGTAAAGCAAGTTTAAGCTCAACTTGTTTGGATGACAACTTTACCAGCCTCGTTCATTAGCTGTGTCTCAAGTCGGGGGCCGAATCCCCTGGAGGCCCCGGTCTACGCAGCCGACATCAACTGCATCCTTCATAGGCCGCGACTGCAGCATCAAAGTGAAACGGTCTGGTCGTCCTTTTGTGTCACCAGCGTGTCCCACCCTTACAGCCGTCACCAAGCAACAGACCAAAAGATCTTCGGTTGATTAAAATACATTGAAAAGATGATTTTTTTTATATTTAATTTGCATTTGAATATCATTTTTCTGTTTTCACTTCGTTTGCTGTCACCCTTTGAAAAATGAATCATGGGATATTTTGGGCCGGGAAAGGACTGACCTTTAAAGTTCACGAATCAACATTCTGCTTCTTTAATCAGTACACAAAATACACCAGATACACAGAAAGAGTTTTCTTCCTCTTTAACTAAGTAAGCTTTAGGGATGTTTGTCGGCTTATTTGTGCTAAACCAAGCAAACTGTATGTTCATTATATTTATCTTAACAAGAGAGCATTAAGCTAATTTCCCCAAAATATCAATCAGGTATTTTTCCATCTCAAACTCACAGAATATTGCACAATAGCTACTTAATCTAAAAAAAGCAGCAAACATGTAAGAACTGTTCTCATGCTTCCTTGATGAATAACATTGGCCTCTGGGGACATTCAAATTCACATTTCTCTGAAAAACCCTGCAGCACATCCTCCTCGTTTTAATAACTACACATGTAACAGCACACATTTCCATTTTAAACAGGTTTATCAGATAAAGTCACAGTCACACATTTTGATTCTCCAGCATTTACTCTGTTGATATTTCCGTTCATCTCTTTATTCTTCATCCAGGCCAGAAGCTACATCATCATCAGACGCGAGAGAAAACGCGGAGCAGACAATTGTTCTGCAGCAGCTTCATCCTGGTGTGATGTCAACTTCGCAAAACAACACAAAGACCAACACAACGCACAAGTCAAACTCCTCACCCCGCTGTAACAGTCAGGATGGAAAAGGTTTCGTGAAGTTGTCTGCACCTTCAGACGTATTGAGTCCTCCCGCAGAACACAGCAGGCGTAAATCTCTTGTCCAGTCAGATGCACATCGTCAGTATCATAAACAGAGACCCAGCAATCAAAAGCATGCAGATAAAATGAGGTTGAGCAGAAATATCCCTGAGAATGAGCCTCGGTCTTTCTCTAGCAGAACAAAAGTGAAATCCAAAGTGTCGTGGGTTTAATGAAGCTTCAAGAGTCAAGAGTGGGTGAAGTCGAGTATGTTAATATAAAGCATTAGTAACCTGATGAGTTAATAAATATAAGTTCTTGTGATGTTGTGTTTGACAAATCACTCTGTAGTTTGAATTATTTAGTTTATTTCAATTCAAACATATGTAATCATTGATTATATTTTCTTTTGTGCATCAGAATTTATATGTGGGAACAAACATGGCTCCAGGTGAAAATTAACTGTTTTCAAGCAAGTTTATAATAAAAATGTGAAAAGTGATAAAAGGCCAAAGTTGTGTTCTGCTCAATTAATGTTGATGATCACATGTTGATGAGGTAAAAGCCTCAGCAGCCACTTATGTTCACCGATATTATCATTCAAAGAGAAGTCAGACAGGTTCGATAACACAGAGAACACACTCTTTTACCAACAGACTGTTTTTCCTGCAGGACTGTAACTTGTCAAAGCAGGTAAAGCACGAGTGAATCTAATAATAGTGACGGCTCGGTGTCTTTTGTGAGCTGCCAGATGCCACGGCGGTGAGATAGCCGTACACAGCACAGATCCCTGCAAGTGAAATGGGATGTGACCATGTTGTTGTTCATTACACCTGTGCCTCTCCTGCTCCAACATGTCTGAAACAGTCTACTGGCTGCTGATAGAAGACAATGGGCCCCAGGGCACAGACAGGAACACTCGGACAGCTTTATTTCCCTTTTCACAGTTGTTTTGTGTCTTTTCCATGTCGCATGTCTCTTCTCACTTTATCACCTCATAGTCTTTTTGCGTTCCTGTGGGGTCACTCTGTGTCTCTGTAGTTGGTTTGCATCTCTTTGTGGTCATTTAACACTTTGTCTCCACACAAGTTGGCGTGGATCCAAGGTTCTTTTCAACATGTTCCGGTTTAAATTCGGTTTCAAAAGCGGACTTCACCACCCTGTGAAACCCAAGATGGCTGCATCGTGTATCAACAGCAGTGAAAGCTGTAGTTTTCACTATTTTTAAGCATTTTCTGTCATTAAATGTGTCGTACACGTAGTTATGTCCAGTCGTGTTACTAACGTGTTAGTATGCGTGAAATGCAGCGTAATGCGTCCTTAACTGATTTTGCTAACGATGTCTTGCTGGCTGATGTAAACATTGTTCCTGTGGACAACTGGAACGCTCTCGGGTCATTAGCATGTAAATATATAGTATTTAAACATAAAAGATCCATTCTAGAGTAAAGAAAACAACAATTTGTACAGTTTAGATGAAACACATCAGTGAACACATCACCAGGATTATTTTCTATTCAAAACCTGCCAATAGATCATCCTCACCTAAATCTCACACACGGATAAAAACACGTATAAGTTTGTTTATTGGCACTTTGCGTTGACCTCCATTCATTTTCACGCGCGCACGGTGACATGGTGCGTTTCGCCCCCATCGGTGCCCACCCGCCCGCCGGCAGCAGCAGGCCGCCCCTGCCCCCTGCCTCCGCTCGCATTGTACGGTGGTCGAGAGGAAGGAAACCGAGGAGCCAAAATGGGAGTAGAGATTGAGACCATAACTCCTGGAGACGGTGAGAGTAACTCTCGGCGTTCAGCAGCCTGTGTTTTCACCGGCGCTCCGCCGGTTTCTCGCCCCGTGTTTAAACGCGCTTCTCTCGGTTTCTCTTGGTTTGCAGGGCGGACATTTCCCAAGAAGGGGCAGCGCGTCGTGGTGCACTATGTCGGTGAGTGGGGGAGCCCGGAGCACCGCTGGGGCTGCCGACTGGAGCTGGAAGAGTCGGGCCTGAAAGGGAAATTACACTTGAGGCGATGGTCGCCACACGTGTCCGGTTGATGGTGTGAGAGTCCCGGTGTTTTGAGTGAAAGCGGAGACCGGAGACGGTTGTGCTCCGCTGGTTAGCATCGGAGCTAATGCCCCGGCTAACAAACAGCCTCCTGTCACTGCTCGGCTAACACCAGCTAACGTGAAGCTAACACCGGATCGTCTGTTTTTTTTACACGTGTCCCGGGCTCTTTGTTTAAAATACGGTGTGCTCTCGTTGTTCGGGACGTGAAGGAGGGAAGTGTTGAAGCCGGGCGAACGGTGCCGAAGCTGCTGTCAGCCGCCTGACGTCAAGCTAACCAGCCCCATGATGCTAGTCGGCTAACGTTAGCTCAGAGTTACAGTTAAAGGCTGCTGGGCTCAGACAGTGGAGTACAACCGAGTACATCTACTCGAGTACTTTATGTTTTCAAAACCACAAGTATGCAGCGAAAGTACAAGGTTGAGGTACTTGACTTGTGTGTGTGTGTGAAGTTCTACTTCACTAACTTTATATCAGACTGTTTATCTGACAGCTGCAGGTTTTCATCATATTTACATCAAAATCAATAGAGAAAAAATCACCACACGTTAAGATCTTAATGTAATAATAATAATAACAATATAAGAACTTTACAAAGTGCTTCACAAAATCCATGAGAAAGAAATGAACGATAGAAAATAAGTTTCAGTTCGAATTTAAGCAGCGAATCATAAGAGTTTAAGATTTTAAAATACAAGGTGACCCCTCATATGAACATGTTGTCCCTCGTTGTTACCAATAATAACTTGATTTTCTGTCCATTTCACAAAGTCCACAATCTGTAGGAGTTTTACTTTATATAAATAACACAAATAGTTGTCTTCTTGTATATAAAGTTGTGTAAAATGCACATAACTTCAAGATTGTTGTCATTTCCCAGTATTAAAGCCAAGTATTTGTTTACATGATTCAAAGACATGTGCAAAACAATTATAGTGAAACGAATATAAATCCTGCATCATCATCATCACACTTGTAGAAATAAACCTCAAGCGCAGCGTAAAGATAACACGGAGCACTGACAGGACAGAAACCAAAATTCTGCTCACTAATTCATCTGCGCTGTCTGAACAACACATCAGCCTGACATCTGCAGACAGCTGTCGGCCAGTGTTAGGTCAGCTCCACACATACTCAGGTATTTTTTTTAAAAGAGCTTTTCCACACGAGCACTTTTCTAGAAGAGACATATCCTCTCAGATGGTTTAATTTAAAGTGTGAATGGTTCGAAGAGGGAGGAAATGTTCTATATATCTTCAGAAAACATAAGGATTGAAGGAAAAGTGCTTGAGCTGAAAACAAGTTTGAGTAGCAGGACTTAGAGGGGCCCGACCCCAATACTGGGAACTTTTAACAACTACACATTCAAATACAGGGATTGTACTTGTTATAGAATATTGATTAAATTGTTTTACTGTTGTATTTACTTTCTCCGTCACTGGATACAGAAAGTTGGGACTCATCCTCAGCCCCAAATCATCGAACAGCTTCCTTTCTCTTGGTTTTTCATCAGGCACGCTGGCAGATGGGAAAGTGTTCGACTCTTCGCGGTCCCGGGGGAAGCCGTTCAAATTCAAGATTGGTAACCAGGAGGTTATCCGTGGTTGGGAAGAAGGAGTAGCTCAGGTGAGCTGGAGCTTTTTCTTTTTCCACTGAAAATGTTCATTCGACATCACAATCAGTTGGCACGTATTAGTACATCCAGCTAGAACTAATGTTTAGTTTCAACAAAAACTTGAAGCTAAAACATTGCATTACGTTTGCTTTTGAGGTCACTGGGACGTTCAAGATGATTTGACTTCATAATAAACATATCCCTGTGTGTATTAGAGCATGAGGTGATGTGTTGATTGGTGGTTTTAGCAGCTTATGAAGGAAGTTGTCAGACATAACAGGAAAATGTCTCCTTAGGATGTTGAAAGTTACAAATCATTTTATCATCAAAGTGAATGATTGAAAACAGTTGGCAGATAAATAATCAATAATAACGTTTCAGTTGTGTAATTTGTTGTGTTGTTATAATAGAAGAAACCTCTCCATCTCCACAGATGAGTGTAGGCCAGAGGGCAAAGCTGATTTGCTCGCCAGACTTTGCTTACGGCAGCAAAGGACACCCGGGGATCATCCCACCGAGCTCCACTCTCACCTTCGACGTGGAGCTGCTTAGTTTGGAGGCCTGAAACTTGTGCACTCACTTTGTTAAATTCCACTCAAATTTTCAGGGTGAGTGGTTTTTAATTATTTGTATAATCATTTTTATTCCCTGCATCATACACAGTATAGACGGGGTAATCTATTTTAAAGTCCAGCATCTTAAAAATGTGCAAATGATGAACGACACTTGTTCTTCATTTATTACCCAGCCCATAATAAAACCCTGAGTTTTTTTATTTTGCGTTAAGATTAAGTGGTATGAGCATAACAGGCTTTAGTCTCCACGTGGTGTAATCCCCTCTCCGCCTTAATCACGGCTGTAAGACCCCGTCTCCTCTTCACTGCAGGTTGACTCCTATCTCGGGAACATGGAGGAAAAACTGTAACAGCTGATTCCTGCTTTTGATTCCTGCATAGGACCTATTCACTAGTTCACTCTCCTTTCCATTTAGATTCATATAATGTTGTGTCACTTGCTTTAAAACTTTATCCTTCATACTATACTTTAGATTACATACAGTAATAAGTCATAGGCCATCCCATTCAATGTATTTTGTCAAATTATGTTATGTATTTTTATGGTAATGTTTTTTTTCTTTGACTTAAAAAATTTACAAATTGTCGCCATCAGGACCAGGTGTTAGATTAAGTGTCAGAACTATCGAATCAGTCTCATTCCTGTGGCTCTGTGGCCTTCTACACTAAAATGGTATTGATTGCGGGTAATGGATTGTCTTGAATCGAAATAAGATTGAATTGTTTGACACAAAAAGGATATTTCCATCAGTGACCTTTGTGACGAAATTAGAAGAGATAACAGAAAGACATTGTTAACCAGGGTTTTGTGAATCAAGCACATTATTGCCATTAACATCCCACGTGTCTCTGCAGATGTAGGGTTTTTATTTGTCTATACTGAAGCATCAATTGTTAATTTATAAGAGTAAAATGACTTTAACTGCTCGAACGTTCACAGCTGGACATTATTTGTCTTGTTGGTCATGTGTAAAAAGCCAAAAGAAGGTCTTACGGGAAAATACTTGGTCTCTGGTTAAAGGTTTCTAAATTTGCATGGCAAGTTCCCCCCACAGATTTGTCGGCACATCTTGGGGTTTGTGGTTCTCTCTTTATTTGAAGGAGTTGTGTGTAACAAGCTGTGGATGTTGTAAAAGGTCTGTTCCTTCCTCAAAACACATTAAAAGAGTACTTTTAACACAAATTGCTATTTCTTCCTTCCCTGTGGGAGAGTGTATCTCAATGTTTAACCTCAGTGTTCACTTAAAACTGCCGGTTTGATCATCCTCACTGATGAATTAATACATATTATGGCATCGCAATACACTGATCGTAAAAAGAGGAAGTATGAAGCATCTTTTATTTTCCAAGAAGAGAAAGAAACATTCAGGGCATTTTGCAATATTAGTCTTTTTTTCCTTGACAATAAATCACTGCTCCATTACATTTGTTCAGTACAGACTGATGGAAAGTCCAGTTCATGTAGTAACAGTGTCATAGAGTGTTCACAACACACCACAACACTCAATCCAGTCACAATCCAACCACAGATGAATTACACTTTTGTTTCCTCCGCCAAGGAGGTTACATTTTGGTCTGCGTTTATCTGTTTACATATAAATTACTGGACAGATTACAATCAATCTTTGGTGGAAGAACGCAGTACACATCAGGGAACAACCTTTTAAAATGTGGTTATGGATCCAGATCAGGGGGCATCACGAGGTTTGTTTTTATGTAGTTTTCTCAGAATAATTCATGGATCTAGATGGAAATAATCAGACATGTTTCGGTGCCTGATATCTTGAGTGTGTGCAGATCCAAATACAATTTAATTTGGTGAATTTAAAGGGTTCATTAAGGAGACTGTTGGGCCTTGGAGGTTTGCGCTCTACTGAGTGATGTTCTTGTCTTCCACTGAATTGAATTCACACGAACCAGTAATCATTGATTAAACTAGTAAAACCTTGTGGTAAAGTTCCCTGAAAGCTAAAACATTGCTCTTTTCCCATAATAAGGCTGAAATCTACTGCACATCATCGTAGTTACAATATTTCAGTCGACAAACTAAAGGGCCACTTGTAAAGACTATGACACATATTGTACATGGTTATAAATATAAGTACATTGCTGTGAAAGTAACCCACACTGACACGCAGGATAACTCTCTTACTTCCAGCTGTGCAAAGACCTTTCATTTCATGGAGAATTTGAAAACACATCGCAGTTTAAAAAAACAGTTCACAAACCCAGCAAAGAAAACTGCTCCTTCATTCATTCAGCTGTGTGATCACAAAGTACCGGATGTTAAAACTTAAAGAAATACCTCTCCTTTAAATTTCATAGAAACGTGTGACTGTAGAAATGTAACCAGATGGTGCATTTAAGGACATCACGTTATGTAAAATTCACCGGACACACCTCAAGTTGTTTTTGTTGTTCTTTATTTTTAGGTTATCGATTCAGCTTAAATGAAAATTTAGTGTCGATGTTCAGGGTAAACGTAAAGAAATAGAGTCGGTACAGTTTTAAACTCTCATCATAGTTAGTTTATTGGCAAAATATCACTGATCTGTCTGTTTTTGCACCTGAGAACTAGATTTGATGCACATGCTCAAGCTTGAAGAACGTCAAAGCTGTAAAACATTCAGTATTTTTATGGGTGGAATGACAAAATCATAGCGTTCTGCTTTTTACCCACTGTGCTATAAATCTATTCCCTTTCTGCTTCAGTCTGTCAACTAATAATAGACTTTTGAATGATTTTTATGGTGATATTATTTCAATAATGTTAAAAAGATGATGAAATTGGAGAAATATTCAGACAATGTCTCCTCATATTTTTTTAATATAATGAATATGAATATTTTTCTTCATATAAAATCCAGGTTGGGGCTTTTGAATTCAAGCAGGAGAACCAAACCACATTGTGGGTTACATGCAAATTGCAATAAAGAGAAAACCATTGAAACTGCAGGCAGTAGCAGTCAGTACAGTACATTTAGGTAATGCAAGTATTTAATAATGTACAACTAATCCACTGTTGTCTAAGGCATGTCCACAAACATACAAGGGCTTTAAAATCTAAAAACCTAATCAGCAACATGGCCATAACTAAAATGGGATGAACATGTCAGCAGTGTCGTTGCTGTGTGGCCGGCAGAGGTTAGAAGTTGTATTCTTAATGTCAGATTGCTGTGGTTCCATTCATGTCCGTGGGCCTGCGTCCCCTGCCTGCACCCTGCCGCCGAAGCGAGTGGAGGGCTACAGCGCAGCAACCTCTGAGCAGGGACCCGATGTGATACACTGGCATGACGTCCCGTTGTGCCCCTCGACACAGCCAAGCCATGGTGGGGACCACTGGCACTGCCAAGGCCAAAAGATCTATGAGGAAGTAGCGGCTCCAGTGGCCCAGCTGAGGGGAAGGCCCGTCATCTCTTGCTCCTTCGGTTTCCTCCCTGTCGTCCTCCTCTATCTCCAGTACTGTGGCCTCCTGCCTCACTGGCAGTGGAGCTGTAGGGTGGGGCTGGCAGGTGTGTGGCTCTGCTGGCATCTTTACTAGCTCCTCCGGTTGTTCCCGTGGTAGCATCTCTAAGCTGTATGAAGGAGGAGACGCAGGAGGTAAAGACGATGGAAACAGATGAGGTTCTGAGGGGGTGACGTCTGCTGTGGCTAAAGAAATGACACTGAGTTCTTCTGCGACGCTTTCCTCACACAGCCAGGTCATGGTGGGGCTGCAGGCCTGAGAGCGGACCTCTGGCTTTTTCTCGGCTGCAGGAGAAGGAGTGGGGATAGGGTCACTGACTGGAACTGCAGGAGTCGCCGCTGTTACTGGGACCTCCTCCTGAGGTAAGTGCAGGAACAGGTGATGGTGGGGGTGGTAGGTGTGTCCACTGCACCTGCAGCTGCTGCTGAGCGTGTGGCAGGAGTGTGAGACGGGCAGCACGGCCCCCCCACTGCACAGCCTTTCATAGGTGGAAGAGCGAGGGGGGCCTCGGGTGTGGCCCTGCGTTGGCAGCTGCTCTGACAGGAGGGCCGCTTCCAGGAGGAGGTGGGTCTGTCCTGCTGAGCGAGACGCTCCACTTGTCTCAGGAGCATTGGGGCTGCGCTCCAGCTGCAGAGCCTCGCTGCTCATTCGGGTGTGAGTGGTGCTGCGGCTCAAAGTGCTGGCTGGTGAACAACCACAGGAGCGAGACCTGCCCCCAGGCCGAGCTCCCAGAAACCCTGAGTATGGCTTGTGGTCGTGAGGTTCTTGTTCACGGACACCGGGGTTCGACCTCACTGACTCCACCACTTCCTGGAGGTGCAGAATCTCCTTGCGGGCTTCTTTAAGAGCCAACTGGGCCTCCACACGGTGACATTCCTCCTCTATCCAGTCTTCCTGCATCCTGTACAGCTGGCTCCTCAACTCATCGATTTCACAGTCCCTGACAAAGTGGGAAGAACAATTGAATAGCAGATTTATTTCCTTGTGACTTTATACTTTTAGTAATTGATGGAGTGAGTTGAAGGGCAGAAATGTTTTACCTGTGCTGTAGTCTTTCCACGTTCTCCCTCAGCCTGGCTCGTAGGTGTCGTATACACACCTCCTTCTGTTGCAGGGGCGTAAGGTACTGCTCCGGGGTCGGGGGCCTGATCCCATGGTTGTCACTGCAGGCTGTGTGCTTTGCCTGACGCCTGAACAAAAACACACAAACTTACAATAAGGGCTTTGTTTAATTACACGTGAAAGCTGTAAACTGTGGCTGAGAAAATAAAAATTATGCTGAATGAGAGGATACATGTTGTGCAAGGCCTGTGGAAGTAAGTGGCCCTTCAATCAACCCTTAGTGAAGCAAACAATGGCCTGTTTTTGTTGACAGGGTGTCACTGATTTGTTGTATTGTGTAATGATCAGTGCCCACATTAACAGGAGTGGACAGAAGAAGCTGATCTTGTTGAGCCTGTATCTCACCTGGGTGTACTGGGATACGTCCGAGCTATGAGGCTCTCCTCTGCTGCCCGGCCCCGACCAGGGTAGGTGTGGGTACTAGATGTATCGCCGGAATATCTCCCGCTGCCGCCACCGGTTCCCACTGAGCGCCTTGAAGGGGCGACATCAAATTACACACATTCGGCAAACGTGCAAACCAAACAATATGCCATTCAGGTGTTCAAGTAGAGAGGCGTGACAACAGTACCTGCGCTGACCTGAGGAGGGCTTCCGACTCGGAGTGAGAGACATTGATGACCTCCAACGTCTCCAACCGGTGTCTCTAGAGAAAGACGCTAGGAGCCCTCACAGCCAAACTGGAATGAGAAGAGGAGCAGAAGCAGAGAACCGAGGACATGAAGGACAATCCGAAAGAATTCAAAGTCTAGAAGGTCAGTCAGTAAAGTGCATACCTCCGTCAAGGCCCAGCAATCTCCCTATGAAACCACTAAATTCATCAAGGTTTTACTTTGGATACGTCTCCTAAACATGTCTTATTTAATCAAAACATGAAATGGCTTCTTTCCTGACCCCTTTAAAAATCCTTCCACCAAGTTTCATGCTAATCCATTGAGTCGTTTTTGTATATTCCTGCTGACTAACACAGACAAGATGAAAACACAACCTCCTTGGTTGAGTGAACAACTCCACCATTCAGTAAAGAATCCCAAAGAAACAAGTTATTCATCGTACAATAGCTTGTCTTCTGCCATGATGTGCTTCTTCACTCAGTGACAGTAGCGTGATAAAGGAAAATAGTGAAGGCGAGCGGCAGATAAAGCCTCGTCTCTGTGCTGACACAAAGAAAGAGTTCACAGTCAGTGCAGCTGTGGCTCTGAGCTGTGTCGTCCTGCTCGGCTGCAGGAAAACATGGTGAACCTTCACATTCACTGGAGTCAGAGGGCAAAGACAACTGGACACGCTGTGGCCGGTAAAGTCAGGAGGGGTCGCTGGGGTTAGTGCCTCTCTGCAGTAAGTTCAGATCCAGATGTAGTGGGCAGTCGTGGCCTGTATCTGCTCTCTGACGAAACAAGAAACTTTGGCACTCATGCTTTTATTCTCCCGCTGAATAAAACAGATACTGTGAAAAGAGCTGAATTCTTGTTTTTTCTGCAAAGATGTTCCAAAATGGCACGGACACTGCATCACACCTAAACATGGACAAGAGAAGGAAAAGAGGAAAGTTGTCCAAGGAGATGGGGAAGGAATTTAAGAGGACTGTTGTGAGTTGATGTTTTTCTGGCTTGCTTAATACACTGCTGGATATTCTAATTTAATTTAAGTGGCAAACTCAAGGCTGCATCTCCAACAGCTCAGTGATCACGTGGCCTAAACTGCTGACACTATGTGGACGTTTAATGTTTCATGGGCTGTATTGATGTGGCCACAAGAGGAAAACTGACCCCGGCTGGAACACCAGGACAGTTTGACTTGTGTAAAAACAACGGAGGAAAAACGTCAAAACAGAAACAAGCTCCTCCAAGATCAAGATACAAGAGAGTCCATTTCTGAATGAAAGTGGAAGAAACCACATTTAAAAGACAAACAACTGGAAGAAAACAAATGTGTCAATGTTTCTGGGAGAATCTCCCAAAAACAAATCTCAGCTTTTTGGTTCCATCACATCAGCTGTGTGTTCACAGAAGTAAAAGAATAATCAGTAAGAACAGAATCCCTGCTGTGAAACATGGAGGAGTCTCAGTCCCTGTCCAACAAACAGAAATCAGATTATCCAGGAATTACTGCCCAGTGTGAGAGAGCTGTCGTGGCTCCTCCAACAGGACAACGGCCCAAAACATGCAGCTAAAAGCAGGACATGGATGCATGAGAGGAAAATATACTGTAGACGTCTTAATCCAATCCAACATCTGTGGAAAATGCTGAAACATCTGGATCTTAAGTAAGTTCACAGGTTGCCTCCAGGAAATGAATAATTAAATTTCACTCTTGCTTCCATAAGCAAAACACCACTTATACATTTCATTAATTCATTTAACTGCAGGGTCTAATCTTATAAGCTGCTGATATGGGCCTGAATTCTCCCTGCAGGTGGATAAACCAGTGAAGTGGCTGCAGACACAAACAGACTGAACCAGCATCGACCTATATTTAAATTCTAGGACAATGAGACAGGAGACCTCAGCCTCGTCTCCTCTGGCTGCGCAACAAGTGGTAGGACTGTCATTGGTGAGAAATACGCAATCGTCTTACGTAAGTGTGAGACCCAGTGTTTACTGTGGAGGAGGAGGACGGAGCCGGCGGAAGAAAACTGTGCGTAAAGATCCGGAGAAATGATTAATCAGCCGGGGATGTTATGGCAGATAGAAGTTGTGGGGATGACAAATGGTTTTGGCATTAAATCAAAAATGTTCCTACAGTAAAACAGAGAACCTGTGATGGTGGTGATGATGATGATGACGATGATGATTACAGCAGAAAGTCTCATCTCTGGTTTGCGTAACGCAGCAGAGGAGTCTCCAAACAGGACACCTTCATACAAACAGCTGACTACCACATGTGGCCCCAGCTGCGTCCCACGTACCAGGACAACAGCAGGTCCCCGGATCTAAACACACAGCCTCCATTGAACATGAAAACTCTACCATGTCTGCAGGTGGAGGTCGTGGTGCGTCGTGGACAAGCCTGGGTTCCAGCCGGTGGTGCCCGCAGGAGGAGGAGAGGAGGATGCTGCGGCTGCTGCTGCTGCTGCTGCTCAGAGTCCATCCTGCAGCCATGGAGCCCGGAGATGAAATGAGGCGTCTGCTGCTGCATCGCTGCCTCTTAAAGAGACAGTGGAGGAGAACCGCTTCGTTTGGCTGCAGATTCAGGAACAACTTGATGATGCTGCTGTTTTAGTGCGTGGAGCAATGTTGGCTGACAGGTGAGGTGTGAGAAGTGCAGCAGTGACAGTGTGCACCGATCACCACAGACCACAGTTACAGCTGAGATGGTTCCTGTATAAGAGACATACAGTAAAAGCTTTATTTTAATATATAGATTCTTATTATACCTTTTTTCTATCTATCAACATGTCTACCTACCCATCATCCATACCTACCTAGCTGTATCTATATATTTACCTACCTATTCATATTTCTATTATCTGTCCATCTATTTATCCACCTACCTACCTGAATCTATCTATGTGAATGGCACAGAAGTTCTAATAATTTGTTGTCTAATAAACAAATATATATATATATATATATATACTGTATGTTTACTTTATATCATTTAACACATTAAGTTAAATATTTCATTTCAAATGCAAAGGCTGATATTTGTTTCTGAGTGAAGGTTGTGGTTTTAAAATGTAAAGAAATAAAGTGAATATTCAGTCTTCTTGGTGGCAAATATTTATTTTACTCCCTGAAACAGAATACTGTTAAACAGATACTTTTTTAAGAATAAAGAACAGATGGCCATTAACCAACAATGTCAATAAATCCTCCACTTTAAATTGTCTTCAAATCAAAATGTCAACTTCAGTGACACCTGGTGCACAGCAGGTTTTTACGGGATCTTGAGCTTCTGTGTTTTAAGTTCGACTTTGTGAGGAGCAACAGTCCGCGATAAAGAAAAACTGGAGTAAAACACTAACTGAACGTGCAGGAAGGTGCTGTACCAAAAGATCCTCAGGAACTGTTGCTTATCCCCAGATGTTACTGATATTAAATGACTTTTAAAAGAATAAATAAACTCAGAGGATCTTTGAGATCCTCACTTAAAAAGATTTAAAAGCCTGAACCTGCTGTGAGATGGTGTGTGATGTCAGAGACTAAACAAACATTGTGACAGAATGTTTTAGACAAAATGTTCTTTCATTAATAAACCGCACCAGTGCTAAGAACAAGCACATATAATATGTACAACCTTAAAGACACAAAAATATATCAATATTTCAGCAAACATTCTCCTTTGCTATTGTTGTAGCACCATTAGAACAAAGACTTTAACTTAACCATGAACCAAAGCTGTCATCTTCTGAGGCTTATTTGCATTTTACAAATCCTGAAACTTGGGTCCTGGTGTGGCAAAGATGTCCTCGTAGGGGGCGCTCTGGTGCAGGTGTAGGGCTTGTTCTTTTTTCAGGACGAGCAGACAGAAGAAAGTGGTTGCTGCCTGTGAGCGATTGCCCCCTTCACAGAGCGCCTCTATGCTGAATGTGGTATCACCGCTGCTCTGCACGCACACACACACACACACAAAATTAGTTTCCCAGCATCATCCCTTACCCTGCCCCGCCCTTCTCATCTTTAAATCCCTGTCCCCTGCAGCTGTAGATTTTATTCAATGTTAGAAAGAGCAACAGTCCTGAGTCATGGACTGTTTGGTTTTACAATCACATAGATCTGAATTAACACAGTTTACATGTAACATGGGTAGTTGGAGTTATTACCTCAGCCAAGGGGATTATGTTTGTCTGAATTTGTCTGTCAGTTAGACAGACTGCACAAAAACTACTGGGAAGTTTACCACGGAACTTGGAAGGATGTGGTAAAGCTCAGATAAGATAATTTGTAGATTCAGAATGTGAGATTCATTTGTGCATTTCCCACAGAGTTACTTGATTTTGTTTGCATGTTTCGGGGACTGATAGAGATGGTATATTTGTTGAGGATCCAAATGAATATCCGGATCTAGTGAATTTAAATGTGGATTCATTCGGGGACAGTTGGGCCTTGGCGGAGGTATAAGCTCTTTAAGTATCCCTCTAGCGTTGATACTAACATCAGATCATTTATTTTTAGGTTCTTACTTTCAGGCATTTCAGAAGCGTGTGTGCTCGCTTGCTTATCCTCCTCTCCTCAAAATCCTGGCTGTCCAGCATAGACTGTGTGTTAGAAAAGGACCATAATTCACTCGAGGACGCTGGGCACACCTCCAAGGCAGCATGTGAAATTAACAACCGCCATCTGTCAAATGCTGATAGATTGTTGCTTGTCTATGTTAACAGCCAATTTCACAGATAACAACCCATCATTAATTCACTTTCACGCCAAAGAGAAGGTCGGTGAAAGCGGGAGTCCAACAGAGTGCGTGTTCAAAAGCACCTGAGTGTGCAGGGGCGTTGACTGAGTCTGCAGCTCCACGCGAGACGGATGGACAAACATGGAGTCTTCAGATGGAAGTTCTGGATAAAAGAACTCTGACATGTTTTGATCCTGACAAACACACAGCACAGATTATAAACTAGAGGTAAAAGAGAAAAAGCATTGTGGATGAGAAGTGAATTTTTTACTGTACGTGGCTTCTATACACCAGAGATTCACACACTCACTTGTGTGGGATATGAGTAATCCTCACTCAGGTCGTTGTTCAGTTGATCGAGAACTGTCGGTTCAGCGTTGTTTGATTTTTTAGTATTGACTGATGAATCCATGACACTGATCTTGTCTGAGGTGCGGACGCTTAGGTCCTGCTGAACTGTACAAGACATAACAAAAGCAGATAGGATGAAACAAAAGACTGAACAGAGGACAACAAACATTATACGTTAATTAGCCTCATAATTCACAAGGATTGATGGGTTCTCACTGCTAGCATTATGCAAGTGTCTACCTTCATGTCTGTCCTGACGCATCTCCTCAACCTCCTCACAAACAAAACATTTCACCGGGAAAATACTCTTAGCAAAGAGCTGCAAAGGCAAATAGATTTAAAACTAAAGCAGCCATTTCAACGCAACGTCCACCACAGATGAATCAAATTGTTTTATGATGCAAACCAACATTGCAGAGATGTATTTACCTCTTTTATCTGTGGAGTCACTATAGTGGAACATGTCTGTGCAAAAAGTTTGTCTGCCCCCCCCCTCTCCTTCCACTGCATTAGCTGCACAGTGGGCGGGGCCATGTCCAGTGGGGCGATCAAATCTGAATAGTCCAAAAGCTGCTCTCTGATAAATTTGTTGCTCAGCTCTTTGCTCTTGTCCACGACCAACTTGCGTTTCCTCTTTTCCCTCTTCTTCTCCAAGTTTGCTGAAGAGAAAGAGTAGATTTTTTTTTATTTATTTCTAAAAATGTTTATGGTTAAACTGTAAATTATTAAGCCTCGATTAAATTACATTTCAAAATATATACTAATATATTGACAGGTAAAGGACCACAGTTTAAGGTGCATGTTTGTGCCTACGAGTGGCTGTCACAGGTTCCAGTGCAAAGGCCGCCTCATTATTGAGCAAGCTCGTCTCATTCAGTGTAGAGGTCTCTCCCTCAACTGGATCTATACTGTCAACATCTGGAAAACATATGGAGTCACAGATTAATTAAACATTTGAATGCAAATGTTCTCACTGGTGCTGCTGTACCATTAAAAAAACATCATCCAAACAAATCTACAGGGAAAATACAACATGAAGGAACCAAACTAGTATGAAGCAGCTGTTCAAATGGAGGGTGATCGACATTAATGTTACAGGAAGGCTGCATTGTAAATAACCTTAAATCATTTATCCTGATGAATCACCTTGTTGATAATCGAGTGGGGAGTTCTCTGGAGTTTCATTATGAGGCTCTTCCGAGATGAAGTTGGTGGACTCAATGTGATCGCTGGAGTGTGTCAGAAAGTCTACAAGGTTGGTAAAAATAAAAAGATCTGGTCACTCGAGCAAAAAAAGAATCACCACAGATAATAAATGAACCTTTTGATGAGTAAAGATTTAAACTGTGGAATTGTCTTGGTACAAAGCTAAACCACTGATGAATGCAGAATGTTTTATATAAATGACTGCTTATCAAATACTAATAAACAGGGAAGCTATTTATTTCTTTGTGTCCTCATATCAGAGGCTGCATCTCATGAGTACTGGTCCATCAGACAACCTGAAGAACAGACTGAATCTGTGTTTCCTCCCCAAACGAGACAAGTGACACCAAAACCAAATGTAATGGAGCATTTGGACAATCACCGTCAATCACTGTCCCAGGGAAATCTATAAATACACACTTTATACCAGGAGGCGGCTCCAAATCCAGGACAAAGGTCATGAGTTTACAGGTTTAGTTAATCTATATCCATACAGCTTTTATTTTCCTAAAATGTTCTGTGATATATAACATTTCTAGGCTCCTAACAAGAAAAAAATATAAAAAATTCTTTAATTAAATTAAGATTAACTTTACAAATCAATGTTGTTTCCACTGCCCCCAAGTGGTGAATAGAAGATACAGCCTGTTAACTGGCAGGTGGCTATTATCAACAACAATAACAGTAGATCAAGGCATTAACACAAGTGATGACAAAAAGTGGTCAATTAACAATAACTACCGAGTAAGTCGAACACTCTGTCCTCATCTCCAAAGGCATCTCCCTGTTGTGTCAGGCTATGGAAGCTCATGTCCAGCAGTGCGTTCTGGTGGTTGTTAGACTCGCCTTCTACCAATCAGAACAAACATCACGAAGGAAAGAAACAAACAATTAAATGACAGTTTTCATTCCCGCTGCAGTAAAAAAAAATAGTGTCGCTCATTTATTATTTATTAATAAAGTTATATCCTTTGGCTACACAGAAAATAGTTACAAGCAGATTCAATGCCTTGTTACTTTTGACAGTGTTTTAAAAAAAGGAATTGTTGACAATGTGTAGGATATCACCAGATTTGAAATTTAAGCCTAATTATAGTTGAAATGTTCAATACAGAAATAAACTATTGCTCACTACACCAAAAGGCTCTGAACTTAGAAGGCAAATGGCAACAGCACATCAAATGAGGAAGCACCATGGAAACAAACTGGTTCCTACCGACATCCACCAGGGTCAGAGTGTCATTTCCAAAATCCTCTTTCAGAGTGATTTCCTCTGTTCGACCCTGGTTCAGTGCGAAGTGGTCCACGACATCTATGTTACTGGTGTCCCAGTATGAAGGGGACAGTGTGGGCAAAGACAGAACATTTATAGATCATGGTTTAAGAAACAATCAGTGAAACCTAATTCAAATTAAAGGCTTTGTCCTGCAGAACACAGAAATAGGAAAGTTTACCTGAGAGGTGGCAGCTGGGCGTCAAAAGAAGTGAAATCTTCGATCAAGGTGATTGCCGTTAGCGATGCCTCGAGCCCTTCAACAGGCATATCGGTCAGACCTGGTGTGTTGAAAAGAAAATAACACAATCAAGCACTGCAGTTGGAAGACAGACGGAGGTAAGAACGGAAGAGGTCTGGATATATTCAATTAGTTCATTTCGGTCAGATGCAGACATGTCATATTAAAGACTTTATCGGCCGATACTGTGCTGAGATTATCGTGCATCAAAAACTACTGGACAGATGAAGAATGAGTCACGAAAGAACCTGTGAGATTTTGGTGCAGGCCGGACCAGAGTGTGATTTGTCAGAGAGTAATTCATGGAGTCTGGGCTGATATATATATATACACGACTGTGTGCAATCTGGATCTTGTGGATTTAAATGGGATGTCACTGTTCATAAACAACAGCTGACTCTCTGTGTTGGTGCAGTTACCTGGTCTGAACACCATTTTCATTTGAACCAGAGCATCGTTGCAGTCTGCAAACAGATACTTTGCTTTCCTGGAGTAGATCCTGACCACCCCGAGGAGCAGGTGACCAAACGTGCGTAAACCGATTTTCATCTACACACACACACACACACAATGTCAGATGCACCTAGAAGCACAACAATGAGGTCAGACGTCTCCTCATAAGTTTTTTTTTTTTTTTTTACCTTTGGAGAGATGAGGTCTTGTATGGTTTCCTCCAGATTACATTCAAACACATGGGCCTTGGTGAGTTTCCTCTCCCAGTGCGCTGCTAGCCAGATTTTAGCTAGCGGCCCGCGCTTGGACGTGAAGAGCTGCGTGTAGAACAACATGTCGGTGGGGGGGGAAGTCACCTGTCAAACACACAACAACAGTGACATCACACCGTGTGTTCGGTTGTCTCACCGTCAGCTAGCTTCGACGTTTGCTAACTGCTGGGTTCAAAGTCGGCTAGCTCGATGTTTGCTAGCTCACGTCAGGAAATGCTGGATTTGTTTTAGTTGTAAGCGGCGGCGGGAACACGTCGTGTTACCGGTGACACTTTGAGGTAGAAACTCACAGGGTTTATTTCATTACATTGTGTTTAAGTGTAAAGAACTACAACCAAACACCAACACCACCAAACACCATCACATCCTACCTGAGAAAAGAACCGCGCGTTTTGTCGCGTCACCGCAGCAACAACACGGACCCGGGTGAGTGCGCACTTGTTTTCACATGTGGCCAAACATTTTTTAACCTACAGCCGATTTTAGTTCACATTTTTTAAAAAGTAAACCCGCCGAATTATTCGTTTACACTCCCTGTCTCGTGTCATGTGTTGCATGTTGTGACAACTGTCCACGCATTTCTTTTATGTGGAGGAAAAGTTTAAAACGCGAGGATGAAACGTGGAGTTCGGCGCCGTCGAGGAGCGTCTATGGTTTATATCTATGGTGAGGAACAACAGTATATTTATAATAAGGTGTCAGTCACATTACATCTATGTGTGAGTCTGTTTGTTTGTAGATAAAGTACACTCACATTATTTTTTATTTAACTGTTTATACTTTGTATTGTCTTCCTCATTGTGACCTTTCTGCTGCTGAAACAACTGGATCAATAAAGTTTATCTTATCTTTTTCTTTTTTTAATCTTATCTTTTTATTATCTTATCTAATCTTTTATCTTTATCTTATGACTCACCATCTAGGTGACATGAGAGAAGTGATGGATATTGATATAGTTCAATAACTCAAATGACAGATTCCTTGTTGCCACACATTGATTTTATTACCCATTGCCAGCTGTGGGCTTGACTCTGTGTAAAATGACTACTTTAGTATTTAATGAAACAGGGGATCTCATTCCAGATTGTGTAAGTATGAAAAATGATCTTTTAATATCTCTGGTCTTGTTGTTGCAGGCTGTCTGTGACCTCCACGTGCTCCAGAGGGATGAGAAGAGATGTTCAAACTACAGCTTTTCAAAGAAACTTCCCAGAGAAGAAGGTGAGTGTGACACACTAAAGGCCCCCCTGGCTTATCGGGCCCTCAGGGCAGATCCTGATATAATGTGGTTTCTTGTTTGGAAGTTTTGGAGCTCAGCTAAAAGACACAAAATGAATGAAACCGTTGCTACTTGTCATGGTTTGAATAGGGACAAGTGTTGTTTATTAACCCTTGACTTAATTTTAATCTTTTAAAATACACTGGCCCACCCACGGCATACTTTGGACTTCAGGAGTGTTTTGGTCTGTACTGGACTCAACCTTTACACAACCTGGGAAAATATACATCAATGTTGATGTTCATACAAACTTGGTTCAGACACAAAAGTTTTAACTACAGGGTTTCCAGAGTTAAAAAAAAAGTCTCAATAAAATAAACTTTACTAGTCCTTTAAAACTCTTAAATGTGTTTAGGTAGGTCTTTAATATGTTACTGTTAATACTTCTGTCGTGCTTTATAATTATTTGTGTGGAGAAATCATAGAGAAAAGTTTGGGTGGCAGTTTGTAATGTGTCCACGTGTTGCTGTTCTTTCTCAACAATACAGATATTAGCTCTCTGTCTCTTTCCCCCCCAAACATAATTTACTTTTGTATAGGGGTTCAATCAGTAAAATGAAAAAAATATTTTTAGATTATTATTAACTGAAATTGTTAATTGCATGTTGCCTCAACAAATTATGGAAAAAAACAATTAGTTTTTAAAATGCGGGTGACATACATACATTTACATGTACATTAACATTCTAGACATAAATCTTTTAACTAGTTTGTTTTATTTTGTTTTTCCATTTATATGCACTAGAGGGCGTCAGGGAATAAGCACAAAGTCACTGAGATACTGACCCAGAAGTTCCAGTGAGGCCTCCTACACATGTGTAATTTAACATAAACAACTTTAATATGTTAAGTTAGAATGTGTAAGTATTGTTAAGACTGGGTTGCTAATAATCTGTGTTTGAACATGAGCTTGTTGTTTAATTTGCTAATTGTTTGGGTTAAAACATACAAACCCCCCCCAAAAAATATACTTACTGCAATAACAAAAGGTTCATGATGACGTCTTCAAATAATGTTTTTGTCTAAAATACAAAGATATTCTGTTTACAGTGTTTTAAACCAGTTAAAATTATGAAAATCCTCCAAACTGAGATTCTCAAACTACAAAATTTGGCTTAAACATGACAATCAGTTATCAAAATACTTTTCTGTCGATGGACTGATTGATTGTCTAATATTTTCAGATCCATATCATATAAAGATTTAGATACATGCAGTGTAAAAAAAAAACCACACAGATTTTGAATACATTTAGAAGATTAAACAGATTATTTCTTCATTTGTTTCCATGCATCATAACTAGATTCACTTTGATTAGTACACGAGAGTGTAAGTGTGAACCTGCAAGACACGACTGTGGACGTCTCAGCCAAACATCATTTAGTCTCTTTTTCTCAAACACTGAGGCTGGGAAATAAAAAATTATTAGTAACTTCATGTCCGTGGTAGTATAGCTGCATAAGAACAGCCGGTTCTGCAAGTCAGGGTCTGCATTTCAAAAGAGAAAAAGAAAAAACGGGAGAGAGAGAAGGAGACTGGGCCTGTAAGAGTAAAGTCAGATGAGGAATGTGCAGGAGAATATTTTGCTGTGTGAGCTCCAGTGTCATAATCTCTGAGGGGACTTTTAATTGAAGCTGGTTTATATGCAGGTGCTGTGCTGGGTAAACTCTCACTCCATCTGTTTCCATCTGTCTTTATAAATCTACTAATCCATCTTTTATATCAAAATCTCATAAATAACAGACAGTCATTAAAACGTTTGAACAAGGTAAATAGTTGTATTAGATTAAAAGTTTGTAGGTTTTGAAAACTGTGAAGGATTATTCTGCCAGTGACTCAAAAAATGTTTTGTGGCGTACCAGTTATCTTTTTAAATTACTCATTTAGTTATGTCTCAATGCGTCTCTGTACCGTTGCCAGTGGAAATCTTATCCTCCAGGCCGGGGGAAATAGAGGAATTTGCATGTAAATCAATGTCATGCATGCATATTTGCTGGGGCTCCCTGCTGGCAGGAGACTTTTGTACTGATATTGGTGGATCACTTTGGTAAGTATAGATATAGATGTTAAAGTTTTGTATTTCCAAGATTCAACACCCGATGGGCTTCTTCTATGTGCTTTTTGGATGCACATGCATATTATCTTCAAAGGGTTGGCAGCTCCCCCCCAGCTGCAGCTTTGCTGTCATCATGATTTTGGTCAGTTTGCTCAAGGATGCTCCTCTAAAAAAAACCCAAAAAACAAGAGTCTCATTGGCAAACAAACAAAGATAAGATGAAGCTGCACTAAAATAGAAATACTACGCCCCGTCCGTCTTCCTAAAAGAGCGTCTGCTCAGAATCAGCTTCCAATAAAGTGAGACATCAATTTAAACATCTTATTAGTAGTTGTTAATAAATGGAATAACTGTTGTGCCAAGTGTGATTAACCAACAGACAGATTTGTCAGTTTATGGAGACAAATAATTAAACGGGTGGATAACTACCTCTGCCGGAAGGTTGTGTTTTCACCCCTGTCCATTTGTTGGATTGAATTTTGAACAAGGTGTGCCCTGAAGTTAATGAACAGTTTCCCAAGTAAGACATGAAAAGGAATTTTTTACATCAAAACAATTTGGATGACTTTCACAGGAGAGAAAAAAAGTTGTACTTCTTTTGTAGAATCGAGTCCTTTCACCACCCCTCGTATTTCCCTTTAATAATTTGTTTGATGTCTAAAAACCATTGACCTCCGTCTAGTTTGAATAGAAGAAAGAATTCCAGATCACCTGTTATTGAACGTTTTTAATTAAAGCTGCATAAGACACAGTACAATTTGCTTTATATAGCCACACAGCACAGTACCACAGAAAACAGAATTAAATGTCTGTCACTATTTCGACCCACTTTGAAATCCATTTTTCCCCATGTTGTTCAAATGGACATTTCTCTTAAAAAAGACAGTAGAACCTCATCTGCTTCCTTTTGTTTCCAGAAATGGTCCTAAAACACAAGTCAATTTGTGTAAGTGCAGTTTTATTTTTCTTTACAGAACATGAGCCCATTTAATATTTATCTACCAAGATCTAATCAGGGTTAAATCAACATTTGCACCAAAGTGGTCTGCGGAGGAGAGGAGTCCCACATCTTACACAGAATAGTCTGAATCTCTGTCACTAATGCTTAATGAGGTGAATTGACCTTGTCAGATTTATTCTAATCTTTCGTCATTTTCGATTTTCCCCAGAAATTGTGTTAATGTCTATGGTTTTATCGGACTGAGCAACTGGAGGCGACGTGGCAGAGTCGAGCCTCGTCTTCAGGAGAGATACTGAATCACTTGCACCCTGGAGGTTTGAAGGGGCTGCTAAATGTTTATTGATTCCTTCCTCGCAGAAAACATCAGCTGTCAGTTTGAGTTGCTGTGTCTGGCTCATAGACTGTTTATAAACATGTTGACATGACCGCTCCCCAAAAGAGAAGCCAGAGTCAAAGTGCAGCTTAAATAACCTTTCCTTCTTTTTACATACGGTCTGACGTCTGTTCCAGCTGAAGTTGAAGTTGTTTTAAATGTGCTACATGAATTGACACTGACATTGCAGTAGATTCCAGACATCCATAGAAACTCAAGGCTGCAGCAAGTTGAATGCTCAATTGTTTTAGGTTAAGATCCAGTTAAACATCTTTACCACCTGGGTGTCAGCAGCCGTACAGTTATTTACATTTCTTTTATAAAACGTGATTGTTGCATATTATTCTGTTAGTCCTGCTATCACAAGAGCGACTGCACCAGTTATTAAACAGTAATTATCTTCACGTTGAGCTGTACGTTTCTGCTTCATGTGAAAAATCTCGCTATCTCTCACTCATCTACTTTATCCACTTTCAACAGTGAGCAGCTGTGTTGCTCATTCGCCTAATTAACCTTGAAGCCAGCAGGGGTCCTCCCGTCTCATTCTCTGCTCCTGCAGAATCCTGTTAAGTTACAGTGCATTAAAAAGAATCGGGACATGAGGCAACACAGAGGAAGGCGTCTGTATATTATACATTTTCTGTGGCAAAACTTCTCTGAAGATTTAAGCACAGTATGAATTTTTGGGAATCTTGGGCACTACACAACAAAGGGGCCACTTACGAGCGAGATTAAAGGTCCTTGTAAGTGCTGTCATGCTATAAAGTCTTGGTGACACACACATATTTGAAGTTGTGCAGGCTGTTGTTGTTTTGCTGTCTGTTTGAGCACCTTTCCTGTCTTGTTTTCGTCATTCTATATGAAGTCCGCCTGTGGTTTGGCTGAGAGCTGGCTAACTGTCACCTCTCTGCAGGTAGATCCAGTCAGGATGCTGGCGGTTCTTTGGGCTGGTGTCACATGGCACAGTTCTGCATTCTCTGTGCAGTGCAGACACGCCCCGTAGCTCTCCTGCTGTCCGTTTGAGAACCTCGTGGAGATGTACGTGTCCTTATTGTGCTGTGAGTTGGATTCGAGATGTTCTTTCAGATTTGACTGCGGACTTCCCCTGTAGATCCTCTGTCGTAGCATAGACGTGTCTCTGTAGAGGCACTCGCGAAAGTTGGGTTTGCACAGCAGGTAGACCACAGGGTTGTAGATGGTGGAAGATTTGGCAAATATGGCGGCCAGGGCGAAGGCTACAGCAGGAACTTGTGTGGCATCTCCGAACGCAGCCCACATGGCCACAGCAGCATATGGGGTCCAGGCGCCCAGGAAGCCTATACATACTGCTACTGACAGCTACAGACAAGAGGCACAAAAACACACAGACAAGTCATGCAGAAGATGTTAGTGTCACTGTCATCAGTGGCAAAGTAAAGATAGAAATATTTAGTATCATCCCCTTATTTTTGATTGCAGACATACAAAGAGAGTAACATTCACATTTTTTATAATCTTTAAATAAATCATTATAAACGTCCTACAATCCTGCAAACTTCAAAACCTGAAGTCAGGGATACAGCGACACACTCATATTCTCTGACCTTGACAATGAGAGCGTGTGCATTGGTGGTCTTGGTCTGCGGTGACACATGCTGCTGGACGGCCTGACGCGATCCCCGCACCGTCAGCAGAATGAAAGTGTAGGAGAGGAAGATGACGGTGCAGGGCAGTGCATAGCAAAATATAAAAAGGCAGACAATGTAAGACAAGGCTGAAAGCTCGTGGTTGGGTGCATGCCAGTCAATGCAGCAGGCTGTGCCGTAAGGTTCGGCACTGTAATGTCCCCACTGTGCCAGGGGCCCCACAGCAAACACAGATGCGTAGCACCACACTCCAACCACCAGGAGGCGGGCATGTGAAGAGTAGAACTTGTTACCTGATCAGACATGAGAAAGAAAAAAATGCTTTTGTAGTTATTGTTGTTTTTTGTGTTGGCAACAATATGCTCACGGGTTCAGTTGGACATCCGCTCACCGTGGTTAGGGAAGCAGACTTTAAGGCAGCAGACTAAGGAGAGTGCTGTGAGGTTGGTTAAGCTGCACAGACCAAAGAGAACTCCACACATAGCATAGAGCTGACAGGTGATTTCTCCAAACAGCCACCTGTATGTACAGTGAGAGGGGAAACGTGACGGAGACCAGGGCTGCAGCTAACGATCATTTTCATTACCTCTGCTATGGAGGTGATGTTTTATTTACTGCTTGTCTGACTGTCAGAAGGATTATGCAAAAATTAAGGAACAGATGTTATTGAAACCTGGGGGGAGGATGGGGCCAAGGATGAACAGATTCAATTAAGGGAGTGGATCCAGGATTATATTTATCATTGGCAGAATTATTTAGTTTACAATGATAATAAAACAGTGAAAGAGAGAATTAGAAAAGCTGGAAGGAATGATTACTTGACAGTTTTGTTGGAAAAAACGTAAATGATTAATTTGTTGTCCATATTTAACTCTCAGTAGCTGCGAATCATTCACCGACAAGTTCATTTGACGTTGAGATTTTAGAAAAGAGAGACTGGAGGGTACCTGTGTGAAAAAGATGATGGTATTGCCAATGGGAATAAAGAGAGCGTCATCCCAAGGTCACTGATAGAGAGATTGATTATGAAGAACTCTGCCGGCTTCAAGGTCGACCGCTTGTGATATGCAACAAGTAGCAGAATGCAGTTTCCCATGAGGGACAGTATACCTAAATAAAAAAAGAACAGGGAGGGATTGTGCAGACTGGTCAGGCATGCAAGGAGTCAGCAAAGGATCAACACAGCAGAGGTTAAAATTTGGGGTGTAGACTTACAAAATACGCTGTAGATAGAACCCATGAAGATGTCATACTCCTTGGAGATGGTGGAGGCAAACACAGCAGATGTGTCTGAAGCATTTCCCATCTGCAATGTCAACATTAGCACACACACACAAGTTAATTGTACATAATGCAGTGATTGAAGAATTAGCAGAAACTCGACACTCCACTAAAGATGTTGACGGCTGGAATGAAACAGTGTATTTGCATAACACATTTATCATCAGGGCTTTACATAATATAATAAAAGGGCTTTGTTACAAAAGGAGACGATACAGAAAAGAAAGATTTAGAAATTGAGTTAAGTAGAGAATAGAAATGGTTAATTATTTGATTTAATAAAAGGCAAACAGGAGACTCTTAAGCATTGACTTAAAAGAACTAAGAGTTGCAGCAGACCTGGAAACACTCAAAAGGAGCAAATGTATTGTTACTTTGAAACAATTATGTTTTCCTGTGCGTTTGTTGGTTAGTTTGCAGGATTATGCAAGAGATACTGGGCGGATTGCCACGGAATTAAGTGGAAGGATACAGAATAGTCCAGGAAAGAACCCATTACATTTTGATGAAAGAAATCAGGCTTGTTTAGGGGCTGAGACCGATATTTATGAGTCTGAGCAATTTTGTGCAGATTCAAAATAAAAAAACCCAGTGAATTAAAATTTGATTTCACAAGGGGAGCATTGGACCGTGGCGGAGGTATGCGATCCAGTGAGTGTCATTCTCGTTTAGTGGTGTTGAATTACTGCAGCAAAAACCGCCTGAGGTCAGAGTTTGAAACAAAATAAACATTTGTCCAGTTTTGTTTCTAAAGCATCTTAAATCTGCTCTATAATTTTAAAGTCTAAGCTGTTCTTTGTTACTGTCCCTGTTGCACAATACTTGCTGCTTGCAGGATCAACTGTAGAAATT